CCAGGGTTAAGTGGGACACATTTCAATCCTTGAGCCTCCCTGAGTCCTCGAGCTCCTCTCCTGCACCCCCAGACACACATTCAGGCTCCAGGAAGCAGGGAAAAACAAGGGATGTGTGTGTGGGAAGAGACTTGGAAGCTCAATGGGAGTTTTTGAAGACACTGAAGAACCCCCCAAATATTTCCCAGCTCCAACCCCGGGGTCACTTCTTCACTCCAGGGAGAAGAAAATAACACCAGCCCTACAAACTGCAGTTTCCTCTCCCTTAAATCCCTTTTTTCCCCTAAATCCCTGGCCCTCGGAGACTCCAGAGCTTAAGTCCTAAACTATCATTCATCACACAAGCAGGTGCCAATCAATGACTTTCCATCAATCAAGGCAGGATGAATTATTTCTGACATTCCCAGACTCTTTTCCTGCAGGCTGTCATTCCACACTGATGTTCAAATGATGATGAGCATTGTTTGAACACCCCCAAAACTCCGAACACAGGGAAATAATAATCCCATTTCTTAATGATTTTTATTACAGCCTTCCTGCAACTCCTTAATTTTTTAAAGAGCCCTTTGATTTTGCCATTCCTGGCTCCAGCCTGATCATTCCCAGGGCACAGGTTTGCTGCAAATAATAAGACACTGACAAATTTCATTCTCCACTAGAGCCTGAAATGCAAAAATTAAAACCTAATCGAAATAAATCTATTTTTTATTAGTTATTTTAGTACTGGGGACAGATTGTTTCCCAAAGACACCCTCTGCTAATGGCTCTGGAAGGCAAAGCAGCTGCTGAATTCCTCCTGGGCAGGTATCAATTCACTCTTGTTACTAAATGGTGTTACTTATATTATGCATCAATAGGGTCAGTGCAATCTGTTTGTTTTCCTTCCCCTGGACCTTAGAATGGAAAAGAATATTTGGATTTCTCAGGCACAGTTGCCAGTGGCAACAACCAGGAGTGAGGCTGTAAATAAAAAGCAAATTTTAGGGGGCTTGAAACAGAATTAGTGCCAGGTATCCTGGTTTTCTCTGCTCCCATAAAAATAAGGACAGTTTGGGAACTGCACAGAGGTTTTCAACAAGGAGATTCTGACAATTATCAAACATGGTTTCAGAGTGAAAGGGAGTAGGGATAGAGGGATACTGGGAAGGAATTGTTCCCTGTGAGGGTGGGAGGCCCTGGCACAGGTTACCCAGAGAAGTTGTGGCTGCCCCTGGATCCCTGCAAGTGTCCCAGGCCAGGTTGGAGCAACCTGGGCTAGTGGAAGGTGTCCCTGCCCAGGGCAGGGGGTGGAATGAGATGGTTTTTAAGGCCCCCTCCAACCCAAACCATTCCAGGATTCTACAGTTCCATCAGCTGCCCAGCTCACACATTATGATATATTTTTATTGCCTTTCTATTAATCTTTTCTGAAGGTCAGAAAACAAAACAGCACTTGATGTTTTTTCATCTCCTGCATACTTTAAAAAGAATTATTATTCTTTTGGCCTTTCACTCTTATTTCATTTCAATTCATTTCCCTTCCCTACTTGAGGGGGGCCTGTAAGAGAGAAGGGACAAATTTTTAGCAGGGCCTGTTGTGACAGGACAAGGGGTGGTGGCTTTAAGGAGGATCAATTTACATTGGAAATAAGAAGAGTTTATAAATAAGAGGGTGGGGAGGCCCTGGCACAGGGTGCCCAAAGAAGCTGTGGCTGCCCCATCCCTGGAAATGTTCAAGGTCAGGCTGGAAGGAGCACATGGAATCCCAGAATGGTTTGGGTTGGGAGGGACATTAAAGCTCATCTCATCTCAGCCCCTGCCATGGGCAGGGACACCTTCCACCAGCCCAGGTTGCTCCAACCTGGCCTGGGACACTTCCAGGGCTGGGGCAGCCCCAGATTCTCCCACTATCCCAAGGATGCTCCCTGAGCACACTGTCCCTGCCACTGGACACCCCAGTGCAAACACAGAGCCAAGGCAGAGCCTACACTGGATTTGTTCCTGCCTTCCTCAAAATGCAAAGGGAGTGAGACAAAAGGCAGGAGATCCAGCACTGAGCTTCCTTCCCAAAAGCCATCCAGATGGAAGTATCCACACCAGAAGTGGAATGGAGCTGGGAAGGGGCTGGAGCAGCAGGAGCAGCTGAGGGAGCTGGGGGGGCTCAGCCTGGAGAAAAGGAGGCTCAGGGGGGACCTTCTGGCTCTGCAACCCCCTGACAGGAGGGGGGAGCTGGGGGGGGTCGGGCTCTGCTCCCAGGGAACAAGGGATGGGATAAGAGGGAACGGCCTCAAGTTGCACCAGCGGAGATTTAGGTTGGATATTGGGAAAATTTCTTCATGGAAAGGGTTGTCCAGCCCTGGCCCAGCTGCTCAGGGCAGTGGTGGAGTACCCATCCCTGTCCCTGGAAGGATTCAGGAGCTGTGTGGATGTGGCACTTGGGGACATGGGTGGCCTTGGCAGCGCCGGGTTGGACACAACGATCTAAGAGGGCTTTTCCAGCCTAAACAATTCCATGAAAACTCTGGAGAACAAACACGTCAGAACCAGGCAGTCGTGCAGCACTTCCCAGGAGAAGCAGCAGTGCCTGGCATCCCCCCTGGCCCAGGGATGCTCACCTTGGTGTGGGCCAGCAGCAGGCAGTTGGAGTGCTCGTGCTCGCAGGCGATCTCGTAGTCGGGCAGGAGCTCGGCCAGGTCCTGCACAAACCCCACCACCTCCTCGTGCCAGGGCACGTTGGCCATGGTGAGGCTGCTGGCAGAGCTTTCTCCACAGTAGGTCACACCCTGAGGAGAGACATGGAAACCATCAGGAGTCAGGTTAACTCCTCCCGAGCTCCTGGCGGTGCTGGCACATCTGGAATGTCTGGGTTGGTCACCCCTTCACAAGGTCACAAAGTTGGAGATGGCAGCAAAGCTCCATCTCTCCCTCAGTGACACATCCCTGTGCCCAGGTGTCCCTGGCAGCAAAACACAGGGTGGTGTTTATCCTGGAAAGCAGCTTGAGGAGGATTCCAAGGGGGGATGGTCCTGAGTGACCGAGGGACCTTCCAGAAGGTCACTTGGGTTTGAAACACGACATCTCTGGAATAAAGTCTCATGGACATCCAGTGTGACAGGTCACTGTGCCACACCTGGAGATACTGTCCCCTGTGTCACAGAGGTGAACACCCCAGTGCTCCCATCACTACCATCCAACTGTTCCCATCACTCCCATCCCAGTGCTCCCATCACTCCCATCCTCGGTGCTCCCATCACTCCCATCCCATCACTCTCATCCCATCACTCCCATCCCA